ACGAATGGATACGAGTGTGTTTTGTGTGCTCGTAATGCAAGTGGCTATGTCCATGGAAACTTTGATAGTTTTCGTCATCATATACGACATAATCATGGAACTAGGTACCTTGAAGAATGCATACGTCGTGTTCCGCTTCAACAGTTGAAGAAAGAAAGCATCGGTGATCACTATCTTAAAGTGGACTATATTCCCATCGCTGAAAGAGATGGAGAAAAACTCTCAATGACGAAAATTGATTCTTCTATAGGACACACGGAGAATACACATGCTCCAGATCTTTTGATCCAGCAACTGAAGTGGACGACATTAGCCAAGGAATTCAATTACAATCGCAATATAATGAGTTCCGGTACAGGTGACTTGACTGACTGGGATATAGTTGTGAGAGAGTTGAATCATTACTACTTTCAGGGATTCCAGTATCTGGAAAATATGGGTTTTCGTACCAAGCAGCTATTCGTGGTGATGAAAGCTACAGTGCTTACACTCCGTTAAACAAAAAAAGATACTGCTGTAGATTATACGGAAACGAGTTCAAAATATCCGTTATTTCTTTTGAAAAAAATTCAGTGCTAAACAGTGAAGAACTTCAACGCCTTCTTGCTAATGTATGTGTGAAACTGAATGTCGCGCTCTATTGAAGAAACGAATAATGATAATGAAGCGATAATGACGATAGGATTTCATAAAGAAATGGCGCACCTAGAGTTGCATAATACCTCAAGGAAGGTAATTTCACGGCAGTACGAGTTTGATGAGGACTTGCGAGACATAGAAATTAACAAATTCATGGCAACTAAGTCGACGAATAAGGATGGAAAGCCGAAGTGTGCTTCCTTAATTTCACCGTATGTTGTTGGATTGACTGATTCATGTCGCCTAGTTGCAGTGTACGAATTACAACTCTTGGTTGAAAGGAGGAAAACTAGCGAGTCTTCTATCATAGACTTTCATAAAGCAGGTACGATTTTATATACCCACGTGTTTCGTTTTATAACTTTAGGAAGACATAATTTTTATGAAAATATTTGTAAAGCAAATAAACTTGTCCACCGAATGATGGCGGTAGAATAACAAGTCATTCAACCCGTCGGTTTGAGCCCAACTTTGATATCGTACAGTCCTGATGGCTCTATCTTTCCTTATGGTAGAAAGCAGCAAGGCATTATGCAGTTTTCGCTGAATGATTTGATTCAACTATATCAAAGTTTGTTTCAACAATTACAAGTGCTCTTTCAGGAACTTTGCTTCGGTGTAAACGTAGAAGGGCTGCCGGCTCGTTCGTTGTTAACTTTCATTGAAGACAATGTCAGCGGCTGCAGATCGATTATTAGCAATTCTCTGGACAGACCAATGTCGAAACAATTTTGTTAAAAACTGTGCTTGCGAAAGATGAACTTCGGAACAAGTTTTAAAATACAATGTCATCGAAAACACTCGAAGAGTATATCGATTTGCACGGGGAGTCCAATCTTGACAAATTAGTATGGTCAAGTAATGCAATTAACAAATACAGACAAAAAGCATCGTATTTCAATGAGCTTTTGTACTGTTTGGTGTGTATATCTGCGGGTCAACCGGTGCGAGCTGAAGAAAAGTCTTTATGGTCTTTGAGAGATTTGACAAAAATAACCAATAAAATTAACTTCTTGTTTGGTCGGATTATGATTTGTACCAGGCACAATAAGGCTTGCAACATGAAGTACGCAAAACAGCCAATTGTCATATTTCTTCCAGAGTCTCTTTCCATTCTGGCTCTGCGATATTATGCATTGGTACGACCTTTCGAATACTTCCTTAAGTATCTAATGAGTGGACGTGATGAGACATTTTTCCCGTACCGTGATGTGATGTTTGTAGTAAGGGGTCAGCGTACAAGAGGCCGACTGCCTCAACAATTATTTTCAAGAGTAGTGTACAAGGACATCCAAAGACCAATGGGGTTGAGAAATTATTACCTGATATCCAATTACTTCAGAGAGAAACTTTTAGATCACAAAAAAGACCCGAAAAACTCTTGTGTAAATGTAGAAAATGGTTGTATGCGAAGCTCGAATTTGCAAGCTGAAAAGAATACTGATGATACCTTTAATTACTTGCCTCATGAGTTTTTTATCAACTCTCTTAGGGAAAGCTTAAGATGGCATGAATTGTTGCAAATTAAAAATAACGACAGTTATGGACCTTTGCATGAGCCCGAAACGGATTAACCCATCCTTAAAGATATCAACGAAAATTAACCAAATATTGAACCAGTAATGAATGGTGGTACGATGAGGGCTTGAAATAACATCCATAAGAGAATCGTTTATAAACAGAGATTTTACAAGGCGTGCAAAGATCGGTGGAGAAGGGAGTATCTGCAAGGGTGGCGGTCGTGAGATTTTATTTTTTCCTAAAAGAAGTTTTCGTTGATTTTCAACAGTAAATCAGCTATTCTTGACCGCAAACTCATCTATGTACACGGGAGAATTGACACCTGAAGGACAAAATCCATTAATCGTCATATTTACGGACCATGGTGATCATAAAAGCTTTATATTTTGTAAAATTTAGAGAGTGATCCTAATATATCATTATCGATTGTGGTCGCCTTACTACAGTTGCTTTCTTGCTTGGCCCAGTGGGAAGTGGAAGTAATCGATTAAAAGTTTTCAAATTAGGATACAAAAAATGAGAGCTTTAAGATTTGTTTGCCTATGTTTTGAATTTGCTAATGATCTTTGCTTTGTGTTGGATCATACTCTTGACGCTTATAAGGAACAAAGCGAATTTATGAAGGAAACTAGAATAGTACAAGAATTAAACTTTAACTAGGCATGCCTTGCGACACATGATTATTCTGAAGATTGAAAGCTTTTATGAGCTTTTTCATAAAAAATTTTAAGTGCTGATTTTGATGAAATCAACATCAACGATCTTGGTATTGACGATACTGGACTTGAAATAATAGATGAAAAAATAAATTAGTTCAATATTTTAATAAAAATTTAGTAACTATTTATTTTTTTATTCACGAGTAACACTATGATACACTTAAGTAATGTTTTGAAATACCTGTGAATTGTAAAGTGAGATTTACGTTCCTGTTATAGTGATTGTCACGATACGTGTTATCGTTACAAATACTACGCACAGTAAACAAAATTTGGAAAAGACTCTATTAAAAATATGGACACTTTTTCGCAGATAAAAGCTATAATAAGAGTTACTATCAATTACAGAAACTTGAAATGCGATAACTAATTCAGAGAAACTATTGAAACTATGACTGTTGTTGGAATATTCAGGTTGCAAGGTTCTACTAGTCTGGCTATATAATTTTGCGTTTATTTGCATTCATTTGTTACGAGTCCCTCGACATTGATAACGTCTATATGAGTAAATACCGTCAGAATCAGGAGACAATCATATATTGTTTAGCAGTTAACCACTCGAAATACAAGTTATACGCTGTAAGGATCCAATCGTGACAAAACCTACCAGCATCTTCTCTTCTTGCAACGGAATGATAAACCCTTCTTTATTCTCAGTTGGTGCACTTTGCCAATTACGGTAGATTCTCCGAACTAGAAAACGGCCATGCATGGCCTATTTGCCAGCTTTCGCAGTATTACCGGTTAAGTTGGAGAAAGCGTTACTTTTGATTAATTTTGCCCAAATCAGTTTCAGTGCAACAAGTAGTTCAGCCAGAAGTACGCTTGTCTAAGTTGAGTAGGCGTTCCTTTCCGTGATGTCGCTGTTGACATAATTGTGATTATTTTCAATTTCTTTGTTTTTAGACTTTTCATAAATTATATTTATAAATTAAGCCATACAAATAATTAGGTACGAAAAATTAAACAAGAAAAACAAAAAAGACTATCAAATACATTAACACGTAAATTTACTTCAACAGCTTTCTAATGTTGTTTGATCGTTGCTAAAGATGTTTTTACTAGAGTCAGGACGTTGTCTTTAGAATAAGTCTTTACCAAGTAGGACATAAACACTTTCACAAGAAAAGTATTACGGAAAAAATCTCACACGTTACGAGAATGTTTATCGAGTGGATATAATAAGTAGAATATAGGATTGTATGTTTCAAATGAATCTGATTTTTTGTGATGGTGTTTTGCAATCTTTAGTTGGTGCGGAAATTTTTTGGGTTTCGCTAAATGTTTTAATTTCATCACATTGTTTTCTCGCGTTATATTGAGGATTTCTTTTAAGAAATGCAAGTATTAAATTCATTATGTAACGTATTTTTAGCATCCTTCATTCGTCCAATAATAATGATGATACTTGTGATTTTTATTGAAATACAATGAAAACAACTCAACTCACTTTCATCAATAGCTTTCACGACAAACTTAATACCTATGAGTTTCTGTTGAGAGAACGAAGTCTTACATAGTCATTATTGTGTGCTTTATTATTCACTGATTTACACAGGCCTGCAAAAAATTACACGTTATTGACAGGAAAAAAAATTAAAAAAAAAGTTAAGGAAACTTGATGTGCCAATTATAAAACAAAGATTAAGAAATAACCAAAAAGTGCTTTAAGGATCCGTTAAATCTCTCAGTTAATTTGGTATGACTACTAAAAGCGAAGTGGACAAAAAATTTGGATGGTATGGTATGCGTTTCGGTTCACCCGTAATTTTAAATTCAAAAAGTGCAAAGCGATAGCGAAACGAAATAAACCATTATTGTTTCATTGTATCATTGTAAACGAAAAGGAAGGATAAATCTTTTCATCTTTTTTTCTACGACTACCGTTTACTTCGCTACTTTTTCTAAAGATTGCAGTATTCTATCTGCATACTAATCCTCGCACTCTGCTTTTCACTCGCGCGGGCATGGATCGCTTATGATCCTTTGTCTTTAGAAAATAATACCAATGCAAGTGCGAGAATTGCTAACTACCCATTTTATATCCAAGCTTTTCCATATGATTTCAACTGCATTGGAAACCTTTCTTTTATTCAAAATCCTCCTCCTGTTGACGGACAAGGAATTAACTCGTATATGGAAAATGTTAGCTCGATATTGACAGTTCCCGCGGATAATACCAGTGTCACCTGCATATACGCAAAAGACAAGCCCACGCGCTACTCGGGAGATTCCCCAAAATGCTTCAACATGTTAAACAGCGAAAACGATGTTGATGTTAGCATGAACGATTCTTCCCATGTACTCGACGTGAACAATCCGTTTCCATTGTGGACGAGCGAAAATTTTCATATATTACCCCACAGACCACGTGTTCGTATTTAAATACAAGTTGGGCTATTAAAAGTCCGTATGCAATTTACGAAAGCTACTTATACCCTTGTGACGGAAATCAAACATGTATAACTTTCTTAAGAAATACTTCTCATTCAACTGTTTACACCGATAAAGAAAAGAGTTTCGAAAATGAAAAGAAGTTTATGGACTATTTCAATACACAAAGAGAAAATACTAGAAGACATACAAGTTTGTATTTTATCTCACCAAATTTCAAGTCTATTTCGAATAGACAGGCAATGAACCAAACTGAGTTGGCATCATCTTCAGTTTCAATTATTAAGGAAAATTTGTATCTGTACATTTGTTTGGCATTTAATTTAATTATAATTTTGTTGAGTTTTCCATAATGAAGAGGGAACTAACTAGTAGATAGACCGAAGGTCTTTTTCAGATATTTTCTTTCTTTTTTACTATAGTCATTCGACATTGGTTTGTTCACTGTTGTAAGCATTTTTTGCTCTAGTAGAATACTTTCATATGAATTAATGAAATGCTTGATAATTTCTCTTTCCTTTTAATCGATTTTGAAGGGACTCGGCCCTTTCATGACTACCATAACCATGCGTGTTTTTTTTTTTAGTTCTTTTAGTCTCATTTTAATACATCAAATACATATGAATTATTTCCACCGACTTTTTGTCTGTGCCAGACATCTATATTCATCCGTTCTCATGAACTGTTTCATACCTCGTTGTTTCTTCCGACTGTCATATAAACATTAGAACAGTTAATAGGATAAACTTTTTTGAAATTCTTTTTTTTTGTATTTGTCTTTCTGGTTTTACGAAGAATTACTTCGGTGGCATCCATTTTCCTTCTTTGTCTCTAACCCAACGTAACGGCCGAATCTTTTTGACATACGAGAAAGGATGTGCAAAACAAAACGCTAAGTTCCCAAAATAAAAAACAAAAAACAAAAGTTTTGTCATGGAATATCTGTAATATCTGAAATTGACTTACAAATTCAGTTTCTGCCTATTGTTTTGCTTCTGTTACTTACCGAATAACAGTCAATTCAGCGAGACATATCGTAGGACTGTAAGGGGTTAAAATAATACCATGATAATCTAAAAGACGAATTTCATCCTTGTAAACTTTGCATATATACACTGGAATAGATAGAAAGAGCCAGTTTTTTGTAGAGAACTTTTTGATTGGAGTACTATAATCGAAAACTTGCTTTTATGTAACATTTTCTGAGGATCGACTCCTAGGTGATGCACTTCTATATTTTTTTTTTTTTTCACTTTTTCTTTTTTTGTAAAAAACGGTTTAGCAAATGGGTTAGCCGAATGAAATCGTTCCTGTGACTTGGTGTTCAGTATTCGGTACTTGCAATAGTTTGCAAATAACGCTTGTACTGGTATAGGAGACAATTCTTTTTGAGGGGTAGCCTTAGCGTAAGACAATAGATGTCGGCAATAAATAATACATGCATATAGGACGTCCTTAAAGTGATGTCTATGTCAGATGAATTGTAACGAATGCCGTTAACGAATCATTACTAGCTATATGAAACTAAGACTACCTACCCACGAGTGGTACATGCAACAAAAAAGCAACTTATGAATGTTGAATAAATAGCAATTATTGAAAATTTTTACTACCAGTAGATAACCACGCTTAGTTGATGCATATCATTGTCTAACCAACCTAGTGTCCATATTGACTGGTTTCAGCAGGCCCCTTTTCATTCCAGTCACCAAATCATCGGACTAATCTGGTATGAGGGATCTATCAAGGATGCTGAATTCGCATATCCTGTCTCCCTACTGGGTGCTTGAATTATTGGTAAAGCAGTATTTACACGGATTTACTTGACCAACTAATAGCTGTTTCCTAAAACCTATGTCAGTTAACATGTCATAGATATGACAAATGGTTCAGGATCTCGTCCACAAGGGATAATAACATGGATACATCATCGTTGCTTTTCATGAGATACCACTTCAAATCAAAAACCCTATCAAACTCTTCTTCATACAGAAGTTCTGTTATATCTTCCTTAAACACGGTAACCCAATCGTAATTTTCTTTTTTCAACTGAAACCAACTTTCATACAAATGTTTAACAAGTTCATCCATTCGGTTCTTTTGGTACAACTGATGCGCTTCAGCAAAATACCAGTCTATCGTTGGGTCCTGATGATAATGTGGAACCCCAGCTATCCAAATAACTGCTGGAGTAAATCGCTTCCATTAGGCCGACACTACAACAGTCGGCTTCTTTATAGAAGGAGTAAATGTAAGGAATGAAGTCAGGGTTATTAATTTTAACCTTTGAATCCTTTCATATATTGAGAGGACTTTTTAACGGAAATTTTTCTAAGAAGTTAGAATCATTCCGCATATAAAGCAGATTTCCGTTCTCAACCTTTCCAAGAATTTGAAAGTCCGAGCCATATGTCCATTACAAGAATAATTTCATATGTTCTTGGTTTAAAACTAAGGTTTCTGGGTTCCATTTATAAAATAGATATATCTTTGAGAACGAAAAATGTACCAATGTAAAGACAAAAGAACGAAGCATCAGAAGAATTAGCATTATGTACTATTTTTGAAAAAGCTACCTACGTCAAAAATAAGAACAAACTCAAAGGATTTAAGTTGAAGCTATAAAATTATTCTACTAACAACCTCACATTTTAATTATTCATCATTCCTTAATAATTCTTGTTGCTTTAATTTAGTTTTATCATTTAGGCATTTGGAAGCATTTTATCAAATGGTTGGCTATAGAGAATTTTTTTATGTTTTCTACCACATCTATATGGGGAGTTTACTGGTTTGAAAGACTCAATCGGTTAGTAACTTCATCGTTTATTTAAACTCGTAGTTCAACCTAGGTTTGTTTCCCACACTCTATACACAAACTATGTCACGTACCCCCATTTCTGAAAGTTTATCCTTGTCATGAAAACGTTTTTTTTTTTATAAAATGTTTCAATTTTTTCCAAAGGAATTTACAGTTCACTTTAAAATAATCTCATAATAAAAGTTTCCATCTCCACGCGAATTAAAGGTTTGTGCTAGCAATACCGTTTGCACGCAGTTTTCAAAAATGGAGAGGATCCCCTGAGCGAAGAATTATGAGTGAATTGCTAAAGTCGATTAGGGAACAGAAATCTTTTCGAGGGTTAATAGTCATGCAAATTTCTACGAATGAGATGGTGGCGCAATTCCTTTTTGGTCGACTATTTGAAGAAAGCAGGGACACCAACACATTTGGTACTGGTGTTAACTATGAGAATAAAACTATTTAAAGTTAATTTTAGCCTCCCAACTAAAATGTAGATCCTCTAAAAATTAAGAGTTCTTGATGTATTGAATTGCAAGTGCTGAACGTTCTAGCGAGCGTGGCAGTAGTAAAAGTTGATTATTTGTATCTGCAACTTGTGTCAATTTTAATGCATACTTTTCAAAATGACCTTTGTACATCGGTAAGTATTTACAGATGACCTGACCGGACTTGGATACGAAAGTTAGGGAGAAAAAATAATAATAGATCAATCAAAAAACAAAGGTCCTCGGTTAATATTAAGTCAACTTTTAAAAAAACGAAAAAGTTTTGGTTTCGAAAAGAAAAGCGAACAAAAAAAGATAACGGAAAACGGCCAATGCCCTTGAAATCGCTCACTGCACTGGGTATACTGAAAAGTGATACTTTTCAGACGTTTAATTTGGGATATAGAAATTTCTTTTTTTTTGTGTTATTCTAATGATGGATAGCTATCCAAGGAAGGTGGGAATAGAAAAATATGGAGATGGGGAAGTAAAATATAAAAATTGTGAAAACGACGTCGGAATGGAAATTATAAAACAAAGAAAAATCTGACATACACTATATCTGAATAGTTGTATATACCATGAACCTACAGCCGAAATTTTTTTAAATTGGAAGATTTGGCTGATCAGGCTAAATAAAATTGATTCTTAGTGGTTTCTTTTAGTTAATCAGATCGCTAGACGTAGTACTAACACGTCCAATTCCAATAGACAATTTTGTAATTGTACTTATTACTTCCACTCGATTTATTTTCTCATAGCGTGTGAGATTTCTCCCATGACACTGACGTGACAGATTCATACTTGCTTTCACGCTTACGCAATCTTACTCTACGTTATCAATCTATGCTACTATTATGTTATATTTTTTAAAAAGAAAAAAAATTATTAATAAATAACCTGTAAATCATTCAGATTCATGACTGTGAGTCCATCACATGCTCTTTCATTCATTAACATCGTAACAAGAATTCATAAGCATTTTTTCAAACAAACGTACACAGAGAAAGAGCCATTAAAACCAATTTAAAATCAAGGAATATGTACTGCAAAAGAAGAAACCCTGATAGGAAAACATTTTGCATACGCGAATTCATATTTAGTAAAAGAGTGTTGTCGCGCATTCATAGCTAAAAACAGAAAAAAAAAAGAACAAACCAGAATCAAGAGCGGAAGTCACATTTCTTCGTAATGTTGAAACAAATCATCTGAAGTTGTTACACATGAGGTGACATTCTTTTTGACATGCTTCAAGAAGCTCTCTGAACCGCAAGTCGCAATGGCAGCGGTCTGCCCTTGTGCTTCTTCCAAGCATGGTTTCAAATAGTGATCAAAAAGAGGACGACCATCTAAAAGTCGGAGATAAAAATTTTTGTTTGATAGGAACTGAATATCCGGAATCTCCTTGTATGAATAACTGTTTGTAAAGTGACAAGTAATGTCTAGTTGAATCTGACTCTCGTCCTTCATGAGTTCTTTCAATAAGTTGAAAATAGCTACGAAAAGGGATTTCGATCTGCAGCTCCAGACAAACGTGATTTTCTTTGTTTTTGACGACTTTGATTGAATGATGTCTTTTAAAATCGGCAGAGTATATGTAATACCAACACCACTCGACAGGAAAAGTACATATGAATAGTTATTGTAAAGATTCGTCGTAGGGCCATAGGGTCCATCCATCAACACAGTCATTTGATGACTGGGTACGTCCAAAGAAATAGGGGACCACGACCAGGAAGAGGGTTGTTTTTCTGAATGCTCACTTTTACAAGAAGAACTTTCCAGACCAAGCTTTCCCTCTTCCTCATGCAGGACCTGTTTTACAGATCCACTCTTTTTAACATGGCCAGCAAGGCGTTTCGTGAAACCTGTCCGTACCGCAATCATCATCTCAACATAATCGCCAGTGGGCGAACTCACCATGGTAAAGGGATGCAATTGCCAGTAACTGAGAGAAGGAATATTCAAATAGACATGGTTTCCAGCCGCCCAGGGTAAGGAAAAAAATAGTGATTTCGGTTTTGGTCCTCGCAAGTAAATCAAATCATCATCCCAGAGGAAGATCTGAAACTTGGAAGAATTTAAAAAACTTCGCAACATACGCAGACCACGATCGAAGGCATACAGGGATACACACACTTTCATATAAACAGCGGCATTCTGACTGTGAAGCCAAATGCTACACAATAATCCGATGCTGCAAAGGTGGTGTAAAACAAAAAACCATTCATAATATTTTTTCCGGATGAATGAGATACTGCTGATAGCAATGACAACCGTAAAGGTTATGATTGCGTATCCTGTTAAATACATTCCGCCCGCCAAGCGGTAATGAACATTATCAGCGACGGCAATTCCTATGTACCCAATCCCATGAATGAGTCCAAACAACAATGCAAAGATGGACAATCGACGATGAATGTAGTTCAATTTTTCATGGGACGTGAGAAGCATCAGAGCAAAGGGATTGTTTTTTAAACTAAAGAGGTATGTTACAATATAAAGAGCGCAAGCTAGATAAGCAAAACGAGAACAAACGGAATCTCTATTCCAATTTTTTTTTGCAATATTTTTTGAACCAAGTTTAGGAGTCTCTTCACCTATAAAAGGAATACTTACGGCGCAAACCAGTAGCACAAA